CCCGGCTCTTGTCCGCCCTGACCCTTGGGGTATTTAGAGCACTGAAGTCAAAAATTTGAGAATTGGGGGTAACATTGAAGGTATTCCTATTCAAGTGCTGAAATATCCGTGTCACCTGCGCGGGGGCGGAACGGGAGCCGCGGAGGATGAGGGATGCTCGGGAGCTGCCGAGGGGCTGAGCGTGGGATGGGGTGGGGAGAAGCTACCCCCACATCTTTTCCCAATTCCTTTCAGATTCCACATTCCCCTTATAAGACAGGCTCCGGCCAACCGCAACGCGCCCGGTGTAAGAGGAAAAGCAGTGAGGAAGAGAGGAGGGAGGGGAAGGGACCCCCCCCAGCGCCGCCTTGGGGCGGGAGGACGATGCGGGGACAAGGTGGAGACCCAGCACAGTGACAGCCCGGAGCCGGGGTCTGGAACCGCACCCACCTGCCTACGGGGGCTGGAGCTCCCCAGGAGGAAGGACCTGGTCACCAGGCTGTCCCCGAGGCCGATGCCAGAGTCACCAATGCTGCGGTAGCTGCGGGTGACGGTCACACTGGAAGAGGACGAGCCCGAGGACACGGTGTTGACACCGGCGCTCTGGGGACCCGACTTCTCGGCCGGCTGACCGCAGGTGCCGCAGACCACCGTGCGGGAGCGGAGGTTGTACTCGCCAGGGTCCCCAGAGCTGCTGCAGGCACCCTAGATGTCGGGGAAGAGACAAAATGACTTTGAGCATCTACCCGAGCATCTTCCACCTTAAGCATCCCGCCCCGAGGACCGCGGTGTGAGCCAGGGAGGGGTCTCCAAGCTAGGCTTCAAAGAGGGTCTGCACTCCATCGTGTGGTTTAAAAATAATAAAATATTATTATGATATTTATCATCCCAAATGATTTGGGCTGGCACACTGCAGACGGCTGAACTGTCCCTGCTGCCCTCTCCTCGTCCCGCTGAGCACCCCGGGCTCTCCGCACACCGGAGACACCTGAACTGTGCTTGTGCTTAGCGAAGAGCATCCTCTTCCTCACCGCCCGGGAGAGCGAAGGCTGCCTGCTTCCCAATGGGAAATTCTCTCTTGGAAAGGATTCAGCCCCCAGGAGCTTGGCTCCTCCGTCCAGGGATGATCGATATCTGTCTCGGCACAACTCTTCACATCCAGAGCGGCTCCGAGGAAAGCGGCGGATCGATGCCCCGTCAGAGCCGCGGCGAGCGGCATCCGGCAGGTTTTTCGGCAGCGCGGCGGTGACGGCGTCTCGTGGATCTCTCCCTGGGGGATGGGCTGGGGGGCTCCTGGGCTGCAGCCAGGGATGTTTGCTTGGAGAAGGGGAGCTCTGCTCCTGGCACTGCTGCTCGTGGTGCGTTTCAGTTCCGTTAGGGGAACGACGGGCTGAGAAGAAGGTCAAAGTCACCTCTGGATTTCTTCCAGCGCCCTCGTGAAGCGGAGAGGATGGAGCAGCTGCCGCGGAGAAGTGTCGTCCATCAACGTCCCACCATCCTGTCCTCCACACCCCTCGCTCCTCCAGCCCTTTTCGCAGCAGGTCGAGGTTGCTCAGGGTTGGAGATGACATCCAGCACGGTCTCTAGAGCTTTTTTGGCAAGCAGTAGCCTTCTCCAGGCGCCAGCGGGCCGTTGGCTCCTCCTGTGTGGCTGTTTCCCCAGCAGCCTCCCAGCTGCCTTCTCCCATACGGCCTGATCCTGCGTGATGCTGAGCTGCCTCCCACCCTGCCTGGGACCGGACCTGAGCTCCCCCAGCATCCCTGCGACCCCTGGTGCCAGCGCCTTCCCCAGCTCGGTACTCACATGGTGATGGCGGTGGTGGATGTTAACCTCATCATCATCCTCATCCTCATCTTCATCGTTGATGATCACGGTGCGGACCAGCTTCCGCATGGCCACCTCCTGCGGGGGATAAGGAAAGGAATTGGGGGGGGGTCCAGTGCCTGCTGACCCCCCTTGTGCCCTGACCCAGCGCTGCCGTCGGGCTCTCACCTCCCCGTTGGAGTTGATGAGGGCGGTGCGCAGGCTGTCCCCGGAGCCCCAGCTGCTCTGGGCTTTCCACACCACGTTGCTGGGGGGGCTGTGGGTCGCCCCAGCCCCCGAAGCCCAGATCTAAGGAGAAAAACACAGAGAAAAGCTCAGGGTTGCACAGCCCAAACCCTGGGAATGGGGATCCGTCCCCCCCTGCTCCCGGGCTCCCACCGCTCCGTGTCCCCAACGGCCCGACCGGGTTTGGGATTCTTCCAGGGAGGCAGCGGTCCAGGTTGCCCAGAGAAGCTGTGGATGCCCCATCCCTGGAGGGGTTCAAGGCCAGGCTGGATGAGGCTTTGGGCAACCTGGGCTAGTGGGAGGTGTCCCTGCCCATGGCAGGGGGTGGCACTGGGTGGGCTTTGAGTTCCCTTCCCACCCAAACCCTTCGGTGATTCCACGGTTCGATGATCTCGACTGGACCCTCCACCGCGCCGTGACTCACCGTGACCACCTGGCCAGCCTTCAAGGTGAACTTTGGTGGGAAGCGGTAGGTGATGGGGGGATCGTCTCCATTCTGCCGCTTGATCTGCCAGTTCCCCATCGCCTGGTCCTGCAAGTGAGAGAGCAGCAACCCTCTGAGATCCCCCAGTTCCTCCCCAGCTTGTCCCAGTTCACCTATGGGGTGAAGTGGGGCTGAACTAAACCCCCCCCCAGGGATCTTCCCACCACCAACGCACCTCGTTGGACTTGTTCCTGAGACGGACGAATTTCCCCTCCAAGTCCACCTCCTCCACGCCGACGCGGCCGCTGGTCCGGGCATGGTGGGAGAAG